AGAGCCCCGTAGGGTGCGCTGTCAGTGGGAGGAGGAAGTGTTGGGTTGCAGAGAGGTGATAGGTCGGAGGTCGGTGTGACAGACAGGAAGTGATAAAGTTTGGCTCAAACCCGTAAACTTCCAGAGAGCGGAGTCCTCCGAGCAGGTAGACGGGCGCTCGCTGTATCTGCGTCCCATCAGCCATGCGGCATCTGTCTCAGATGAGGGGGAGAGTGAGGCCGGGAGGGATCGGGGACAGGAAGTGCTCCCTATCACAGCACACACCTCATCCTTCACTTCTGAGCTCCGCCCCCCCATCCAGCTAATCTGAGGATTCGCCACTTGGGTTCCCGGCTCCGCCCCTCGGACAACACCCCAACTTCCTGCAGGAGGGCGACTACCGGAGCTGGAACTATGGCGGGGGATGGAAGGACACAGAGCTTTTGGATGATGGTAGGTGGGCGGTTCTATCTGCCAGACTCCGCCCACTATATAATATGCTCATGGTTGTACCTGCCAAAGGATCTGTAATTCTGTCCGGCCGTTCTTGTGACGCAGCTCTGCTCACTGGACAGAGGCGATGATGCCGATTCTTCATTAGCAGGTGGAGTGGTGACACAGGAAGTAGAATTTTCTAGTCAGGAAGTACATGTGTCACCTGTGTGTAAATCACAAGACGGCCTGAACAGAGTTACATCACCCGCGGCAGCCATGTCAGTATTGGAGCTGGGCTGCGTTCACCTTATGAGGAGACTTCCACCTACTTCCTGTTGTGTCTCCGAGACAGGAAGTGGGAGGGGTTTTATCCAGACCTCAATCATCTCTTGTGACGGTGTAAAGAGGACCTGTCCCGCCCTGCGCACACATTCATCCTACAGACCTCCGTGGCGGCTCTGTGGGGACTCCAGATCACATGACATGAAGGGAAGTGACATCACTCGGAGCATTAAAAGGCCAATAAACAATCTCAGCAAGAGCCCCTCGTATACTCCTCCAGACATGTACCGGCCCTTTAATAAACACAGTGACAACACACCACTCTCCACACGCAGGCAGAGGTGAAGGGGCCCCCAGGGGCCAATGGCACTTACACTGCATGCTGATGGGTGACACAATCTCCTCATCAAGGTCGTCCAGGTCATCGGTCATGAAGAAGTGGGTGGGGGCAGGCCGGGCCCCGCCCATCAGACTGGGGTCAAGGTTCAGTGATGACATCAGGACATGGATGCCGGGGTTGTTGACGATCTGGAAGCCGCACACGGTCTCGATCTGCTGCCAGCGGTGGAGGCGTTCACGGAGA